CTCAAGCTTGGGTCCATCAAGGCCGAGCCTGAAACCCAACACCTGGGATCGGGACCCGATCACCTGGGCTTGGATCAATTGAGGCTAGGGCCAAACCCCAGCGCTCAGGACTCAATCCCCAACGCTTGGACCCAAGTCCCTCGAGGTCGGGCTCGGGACCTTGGCACCCATGCTCAAATCCTCCGAGGCCAAGCTTCGGTCCCCGGCGCCTGGTCCTGGGCATCAGACCGAAGTGCGGGTGCAAGGGCACCGGCACGGGACTCCTAGGCCCGGCCTCAATGGACCTTGGCTCAGAAGTCGAGACCCAAGCATTAGTGTAAGGGGTTCGAGGCTCGGCCTCAATAGACTTGGGCACGGTCCCCGAGGACCTCTGCACGGTAGCTGGAGTCTTAGACACGGCCTAGATGGACTTGGTCCAGGTGCCGGGGTCCCGAGCCTGGCCTCAATGGACCTAGGCCTAGGTGTTTAGGACCGGACCCCACTACCAAGGGCCCTGAAATGAGTGTTGGGATTTCCATGTCTAAGAGCAGAGTTTCTGCTCCGAGCGCTAATTACCTAATCATATTTTGAAATTTGATTTTCAATTTTTTAAAGAGAAAACAATTTTCCTATATTTAAGTTTTGGTAGGAAAATCTTTTCTGTTGACTCATTTTCCAAAGCAATCCAAACGCCGAAAAATGAGAAAAATGTTGTCTTGAAAAATGTCTTACGTGAAACAAACGGAGCCACGATCAATTTTCCAATTTAGTGGAGACTAAATGGGGCTGATTTAGGGGGCTTAATAATGTGCTAAGATGTGGAATTAAGCGGGTGAATAAAGGTTCAAATTAATTTGGACGAATTCCAAAACCAAATAACAAGGGGGCACACAAAAATAACAAACACGAATCCGAGCTCATACAATAAACGATAGTTTGGGTTAGGGCTTGAACTACGTCAGTATGACATATATGAGGTGGAAATTAGTTATCTAGAAATCATAATGCTTCTAACTTCTAAATGTACGAGGAAACTGTATGTGAAATTTTAGGTGTCGATACTCTTATAGAATAACGAATGAATATCCAACTTTTGCTCTTCTAAATCATATCCATTGCACGTTCCGACTAAGAATGGATACACTGAAAATATACGAGTTTAGTGAATGTTGTGACGGTCGATAATCAAGGGTAAAAAATTGTGCCGTTCGGGGGGGTTTTATGTAATTTTACCAGAAAAGAAACGAGAAGAGAGGACGAACACGGGCGAGGGAGAGAGAGAAAGGGGGCAGGGTTTTCGGCCGTTGATACACCGATGATCCAACGGCGGGCAGTGCGTCTTCTTCAGGGAGCAATACCGATATGGTTACGAGCGCTTCGCGTTTCGCAGCTGCGCATTATCTAAGCTGGCGATGGAAGCTGGAAGAACCCTAATCACCTGAGCGTGGCGGGGCTTCATCGCCTCGGAATCTCCAGGTGGGTTTTCTTTCTGTGGTACTGTCTTTATCTTCCGATGTTGTTGAAGAATCGCTTTCAGCCGGTGTCGTGCGTGCTCGGTAGTAGATGCTTGAAGTTCGCTCTATGTCGTGTTCAAATCTGTTGTTTTTCTTCTCTTTTCTTGCTTGCTTGAGCCTTGGTGATCGCTTTCTTCCAAGTGTACGAACTGGTTTCGCTTTCTTCCAAGTGGGTTTCGAAGTATATGAGCTCTGATGGTGTCTGCTTTGAGCCCTTCGTCGGCCGGCCGTTTCTGGGTAACTGAGGTATTCGTCGGAAAAGGGGCGTAGATGCCTTTGTGTTGGTGACACGTTGTGCTGTTTCTTTTGATTCTCTGAATTTTTGTGGGTCGGGTTACCTTTCAATCTAAGGCGACTTGGTAGGTTTCAATTTTGGAGCTCCAACTGAGAATTCACTTTTTGGTCATTGGAAGAAAATGCGAGCACGAGCCCATCCATGACTCAGTGAGTGGTGCTTGAGTATCTCCATTAATATTTGAGATCCAGCTTGAGCTTTAAAAGATAATGCTCGATCGATCTCTTATTGGGTTTTGAGCAATGAAGTTGTGAACTGGAACTGGGTCGAGCTTTAGCACTACGTCAACTATTGCACCCGACACCCCTAATTATCATGGTCGAGAGGCTGGAAGTGCTTTAGGGGTTTGTTGGGAAGTTGTCTTGTCGTCTGCATTTGAAGCCTAGCTTGTGGTTGGGTTTTGATGAAAACTTGGGAGTTGGCTCTTGATGAGTAATCTTATGGCATGGAAAAGAGTTCATGTCTAGAAGCTTTCCACAAATCCCTGGAAAATTTCTCATCTCCTGCTTCGACTCTAATGAAGTTGCTCGGGATAGCTACTTTTTGCCAGTTAATGTCATTTTGCACGGAGTACCAATATGTTGGTTAGAAAACTGATGTTTTGCACTTATCTCCTGACATCTGCACACATTAATTTTCCTGATTGATTACATGACTTCTCCATGAAGTTGTTCTATTATTCTATCATGAGAAGTAAGTTCTGTTCTCTTCCCTCCCATGACCCTTTGTTCTGCCCGCACCTTCTCTATAAATTGTTCTCTCTTAGTAATACCGATTTCTTTACAGGTATCCGACTATGTTATTAAGTGGATGCACCTCACTCTTGGGGTGTGGGGTCACAAATCCCGCTTCTAAGCCCACATTGCCTATTAACTCAGTTGTTTCTCATAGACCTGCCTTACATACCAAGGCCACTTTATCGAGCATCAGGAGTTCCTGGAGACCTCATCTGGAGTTTAAGCAATGGTCCAACAGATGTATGTGAATGATGCAGTCATTTAATATGCGTGTGGCAGTTTCTTGCTTTCCGAAACATGCTGAAATATGTTGAAGATATGGAAGTTTGATTATTTTTTCCTCTGCTTAGGTTTGCTGCACCAGAACATATCCTCGGCATCCACCACTCTTATTAGAGGAGACAATGATGGCCTGTCATTCTCACTCCCAATTATTCCCACCAGGCGGAGACCTCGCAGGGCCCCACGAGCATCCAAGGATGTGCCATACAGTTACCGGTACCCTCCTATGACCAAGAAGCCGAGGTGGTGGTGGAGAACCTTGGCGTGTCTCCCTTACTTGATGCCTCTCCACGAGACCTGGATGTATGCCGAGACGGCTTATCATCTTCATCCCTTCTTAGAAGACTTTGAGTTTTTGACGTACCCGTTCCTCGGGGCCATCGGGAGGCTGCCGAGCTGGTTTCTAATGGCTTATTTTTTCGTCGCCTACTTGGGGGTAGTGAGGCGGAAGGAGTGGCCTCACTTCTTCAGGTTCCATGTGGTGATGGGCATGCTGTTGGAGATAGCCCTGCAAGTGATAGGGACGGTGAGCCGTTGGATGCCGCTCGCGGTCTACTGGGGAAAACTGGGGATGCATTTCTGGACGGCCGTGGCATTCGCCTACCTGTTTACCGTGTTGGAGTGCATAAGATGCGCCCTTGCCGGCATGTATGCCGACATCCCCTTTGTGTGCGATGCCGCATATATCCAGATTCCATATGACTAAGGGATGTCAATTCGCAAGATGAGGTGGTTTCAAAGGAGTTTCACATCAGATAGAGTGACCAGGATTTTGATGTTAAATCCAATCCCTCTTGGTATTTGGATGAGCTGATGTTGCTCTGCTCTCTCCTTCTCTGTGTTGGCTCACCAACAACAATTTAGCTTGAAGTTTGCACATTCTTAATAGATCGACCTTTTCCTTAGCGCCTTATCCATTTTCCTGTCTTGGGTTGTCATTAATGGAGAACTTTGTTAGGTTCATCAGAAAATCACGTGTACAATTTAAACGAAAAAACAGTTTACAGTTGGAGAACTCAAATCTTGATTTTTGTTCTTTAACCAACACAACCTAAAATTTCTTCACTCCAATTGCTGCTGCATAATGTTTCCTATAAGGGCATCTGATTTGGAACTTAGGTCAGACTTTCTTGCCTTTTGATGCCTTCCAAAATTAAATTTTTGACACGATTCCAAGCTGGAAATATGCCCAATTATGCCTGGTACCCAGGAATAATAATCTAGCTAGACTAATAACTCCACATGGATGCTGGACCAAAAAGATATAACAATCACAAAATTATCAATTTTTTCGTTACGCGAAGTGTCATTACTTGTCTAGTCGCTTTTAAATTTTTCAACGTTTGTGGTACTCTATATAAGTCTCAATTTACCTAAATATATTTTTAAAGTAAAGTTTAGACAATTTTGCGATATTTGAAGAAATTTCTATCTATCAATGAAAAATTAACTCGAATATTACCTTCACATATAAGAGCACGTGTCGAATTTAGATTTGAGAGACTTATCAAAATGATTAATTCCGAGGCACCCATATTTTGTCACGATAAAAATGAAAAGATAATCTTTTGAGTGATATTCCATATTAACTCTGAATGTTTCATTGACTCAATTAGTAAAAGAAATAGATAGTTAATAAACCATATCTCTTATATAATTTGTGAATTCATCATCATGTATAAGACATATCCTCATGCAATTTATGATCAATAAAAGTTCGAAATCGTCTATTAATAGCGCGATCTTATTTCACGTAAGAACTTAAATAGAAATTTTGACACTTATAAGTTGTTAATGTCACAATCAGTACTCTTATATTAAATTATGTGCATTATGATCATGTGAAAGAAAAGGAATTATAAAATGTATATTGAAGAATTTGGTAAAAGAAATTTGATTAATAAAAAAAGTGACAGAAAAGAGGAGAAGAAATAAAGAGCAAAAGTGAAAGTTATTATATATATTTGGTGAAAATTTGAAACGGATATGGAAATTTTGTGCTTTTTTTTTTTCTCAAACCCTCCTTCCCTTCCTTCAGCCCCCACTGCGACCTCAGACCCGCACCAGCAGCATCCGAAGTAGTCGACCGCCGCCCAATCTCCGCCGCCGCTTCCGCCGCCGCCGCTCACAGGTTCCGCGACTATTCCTCATTTTAACTTGTGAACTGAGTTCGTCGTTCTTAGTCAGGTGAAATGCGTAATGATATATCCTGATTCGAAGGTGGTGATGGTCAGACAATTTCACTCCTGTGGTCGGATCATCTTTTCGGCCCAACTGCTGCCGACTGCTGAACTTCGAGCGTTCTCTTCGTCGGTTATCAAGCATCGTCGGCGAAATTGCTCCGTAGCGAGTACTTTCCTTTTTTGATTCTTCCCGTGTTCAGCAGTTCGCTACGTTATTCATTTTCTGCTGTTCGAAACCGACAATCAGTTAGTTCATTCAGGTTTCTCTTGACTTTGGCCGCATTTGATGTTTTGATAGGATCGAGGATAAGTTGTTCCATGAGGTCTTACAAGTTGTCGGACCTTTCCCATGCCGAGGTCGATCGTCTGAAGGCCCGGCCGCGTATTGATTTCTCTAAGATCTTTAGCGTGGTGAGTTTTTTTCTAGGCTCGTTTGATTCACATGACACTCATCATGGGCTATTCTTAATTATGGTCATCGCTGATTGCTTTGCGGCGTTCTTTTGTTTAAGGTCAATCCGATTGTCGATGACATCCAGAGTAGAGGCGATACTGCGGTCAAAGAGTTCGTGTTCTCTCTGACTTCTTGTTTAACACGATGTTCTTTGAATTCCGTTTAGCATTTTCTCTCGACAGGGCAGGATTTATGAAGTCAGAAGGAGTACTTTGTGATGATGTCAACACTCCTGCTTGTGTTGTTTGTTTTCGTAGGTACACCGCGAGATTTGACAAAGTTGAGCTGGAGAAGATAGTTGAGAATGTGTCTGACCTTCCGGACCCAGAGGTGTCTTAAGATAACATGCTTTCCAGATACCCGTCTTTTGTTGGCCAGCAGCTGCCTATGATCTCATCAGTTTAGAGATATAAAATCATGACCCAACGTTTGCCAATTTTGCAGCTTGATGCAACAGTAAGAGAAGCATTTGATGTGGCGTATGATAATATATATGCCTTCCATTTGGCTCAAAAATCACCTGAAAAAAGCATCGAGAACATGAAAGTAAGAAGAAATGTTGCCTGGTTTCTCCTTTTCAATTTAGCAATCTCATTGTGGCTCATGGATATTGTGATCCTTTAGGGCGTTAGATGTAAAAGGGTGGCCAGGAGCATTGGCTCTGTAGGCCTTTATGTTCCTGGGGGTACTGCAGTTCTACCGTCAACAGCCCTTATGCTTGCAGTTGTAAGTGGATGAAGGTTGCCTCTTCTGTTATTTTTTGCCACTACAACAAATAATTTGATTTCCATATATAGAAAATTAGATTTACTTGATGTCTGGTTTGTTGCATGCTTCAGCCTGCACAGATTGCTGGGTGTAGAACTGTTGTTCTTGCAACTCCCCCAAGTCAAGATAGCAGCATCTGCAAGGTAAATTTCCTTCGAAAACGATGTTTCGTTTAGGTGATAAGCAATATGAGCTAATTACACCTTTCTATTTTTTAATTGCCTGAAGGAAGTACTATACTGTGCCAAGAAAGCTGGCGTGACTCACATCCTTAAAGCTGGAGGAGCACAGGTTTGAAACATGACACGGACTACTAATTTTTTTATCTGTTTCTTTCACATGGTTAGGTTTACTTAATTTGCGGTATTGTTCTGCTATGCAGGCCATAGCTGCCATGGCATGGGGAACTGAATCCTGCCCGAAGGTACTTTGAATTGGTATCAATGAAATCCTTTGTCATCAGGACTTTTTAGAGAAACGCATGAATCTTTTCTCCAACAAATGCTTAGGATTGCGAAGTGCAGCCACATTGTTATTGGAATCAGTGAAAATCCTGATTAGTGTCGTAGCTTTGGGCCATGAAATAAGAAGAAATTAGTAAAGTGCATATGAGGTCTATGGGCAATTACATGGTTCACCCATTTCTCACCCTACTTGACCAAAAGGCATGTGGCAAAGATTAATAATGGGGAGGGACAATATTTTATTGAACGGCCAAAATTGAAGAGAGAAGTTTTTGGTTCAAAGTCTTCTCTTATATACGTGAATACGGGAATATTATAGGATTTGTTATTTCTTCGATTGCTTGGAAGAGGTATAACCAGGCCTGCTAACGGATCTAATGAGAGTTATGTGAATGGTTGCTTGAATTTTTGGTTACAAATATATGTGGATGCATTTAAATGGACTTCTTGACCTTTGCTACCGATGAATTTATGGGCTTCATTTAATTTTTCTAAAGAAATCTGTGTGCTTTTGAGTATTCAGATAACAAAAAACGACAACTAAGGGAAAAGGGGGGTTGAACGGTATCAATTAAAATTTTGCTCCATACTTAAATTGCATTCAAAGTGATAGAACTTTTTCCCTGTTGTTGAGTCATTATGAAAAGAAATGCCATCTGGGCATCTAATGATTATCATATTGGTTTGCTTTTATTTTTGGTAGGTTGAGAAGATATTTGGTCCCGGAAATCAGTATGTCACCGCTGCAAAAATGATTCTCCAAGTATAAATGAGCACTATTTTCAGTCCTATCCACAAATAAATTGCTGGAGCCAGATACCTTTTGCTGATTTATTATCACCAATTAACACCTCTTGTGTAATCTCATCTCCTCAACAGAACAGTGAAGCAATGGTTTCCATCGACATGCCTGCGGGTCCTTCGGAAGTTCTTGTCATTGCAGACAAGTATGCTAGTCCAGTCCACATAGCAGCTGATCTGCTATCCCAGGTGCTTTTACTTTGTGAAGTGATTTAATGTCTAATGAATAACACAACTTCTACAAATGGTGCTGCATATGATTTGTATTCAACAGATTCTAAATCATTGTCTTGGGATATATTATGTAGACATCTGCTGGGATATACTAAGTACACATCTGCATTGGTACAATGAGTTTGCCTTGCCTTCTTGTTTAGAAATGGGCAGAAAAGTCTTCTGCTCATAACTTGGAAATCAATTAGGTTGGTGTTTGTTTCTCTATAGATTTACTACTTGTTGAAGAGAAAACAAACAAAAAGAAAAGAATTGAGTATGTTGTAGTTTGTCTCACTTTTGATCATGTTTTTAGATGTTACAGAAGTTGTAGATGATCTAATCGCATGTAGCTTAAGACTTTCACTATAGGGTAGTGATTAATAAGGCAGATGAATTTCATATTGCATCTTGGAAGAAAATGATCTATGAAAAATGTTTTCAAGAGAATGAGAGTTAGAATTTGTTTACAAGGGGAGGAGTTAAATTCTCATGGAATTCAAAACACATCTTGTATTGGACTGATTTAGCAAAGTGGTTCCAATGGCTCGCCTAGCAGGATTTATCCAGAAAAGGAGGAAAAAGACCAAAATGCTAATACAGAGGACAGTAGGAGGAAATGTATTGCCCATGCCTTTTGTTTAGCAGAAACTTTCTATTGCCATCTGCACTTCCTTAATTCTAATCTGTGGTGCCTGTGGCATGATTGTGTTTTTATGATCGGCTTGTTTCCTTGCTTCTTCCATGTGGCTTCCTTATGACGCATTATCATGATCATTTGATCTCTATGAATTTAAGGTGTGTCGTTTAAATAAAAGATCTATTCTATGGATTGTGGGCTGCAAATACAATGTTTAGCACAATGTCAGGCGCCACAATTTGTGCGATGAAATTCTTTGGGGGACTTAGTAGTTGTTTCTTATAGGTTAAAAGCTCTGAAGGTTACTTTCAGCTTTCTTTGTTGCTGTAAGCATCATCTTATTTAGGAAGCTCGAGCACTGTGCGGAATATGAGAAGGATGCCTCCACAATCCGTTTATGGTGGGGAGTCTATCTCATGGTGGGGAGTCTATCTCAATGGTAGCATAATGTGATACTTCATCCAGAAAAAAAGAAAAGAAAAAGAAGGACCACCCTTCTGGCTATTCGACATCTTGTAATGGCATCAAACATGGTTCAGTCAGGCTTCTAGTTTTTTGTTAAAAAGTGCTTACCTTTCCCGTTTCATCTCTATGGCAATTACAAGTTTGAACGTACTGGAATGCAAGGGTTCCCTTAGTCTTATCATTCAGTCCATTATTCTCTCCCAAACCTTATGGGAGAATGGAGAAGCACTCTACCTAGTATTTTAATGGCTTCCTCTTCCTAGTGCCACGTGTCTTAAGATACTGGAGAGTTTCGTTGCTTTCTTTGATGTTTGTACAAATGTATAATGTTGTGGTACAAACTGCACTATGGATAAGTATTCTGGCTCTGCTCTTTTCCTTTGCTGAAGTATCTGTCTCTGCTCGTTTCCTGAGATAAATACAGCTGTCTAATTTGTGAACTGAACTGATATGCTACGATGTGCTAAAACCAAGGTCTTTGCAGCAATAGTTCAAAATTTGAATGTGGTAGACCCACTAGTTTGATGCTTAAGAAGCTTTGGATATGATGCCTGAGAATTTAAATGTTTCTTTCCAAAACTCTTTTATTCTATCCAAATACTATCAATTAGATCCTTTTTTATAAGCCTTCATCAACTTTCAGAATTGATTTATCAAAATCCCAGCCTGCAATACTATTTCAGTCTTCATGGGCACTTGTCACAGTCCGGAAGTAGTACTTCCACTCTTGATTTACGTCTGATCTAGTCGTTTTACATCAGAAAGGAAGCAAGGCACACTCAAAAAAATCAACTTGCGTCTGTTTTTTCCTTGTTTGGTCGGATTTACTTTCGTTAGGGAGTCATTTTGCATTTCTCTCTAACTTTGTGCCGTAAATTCAAGTTCTTGCAATCAATGGCATATGAAGTGTTCTTTTTCTCTTTAATTCATTGACTTGATGCTTGATCTTTCTAAAATCACTCCATGCTGTGTCAATTACTTTCAGCCATCGTCTGCTTACATTAGACTCCTGATATCATTGCCCACACATGACACACATGGTTTTTATCTGTTATGTTCCCTGTTCATATTTTCTTATTTGTTGACACATTATTCATCGTTGTCAGGCTGAACATGGTCCAGACAGTCAAGTTGTTCTTGTCGTAGCTGGGGATGGAGTGGATATAAAGGCTATTGAGGAAGAAATAACCAAGCAGTGTGGGAGCCTTCCTAGAGGAGAATTTGCTTCAAAAGCTCTGAGCCACAGCTTGATTGTGTTTGCTCGTGATATGGTTGAGGTTACGCGACTAACCTCTCACTGTTCAGAATGTCTTATGTTTATCTTTTCACAGAAGAATTTGAGACCTGAACTTTGGGATTCTCTGATGTCCATGCTCTAAGTGAGATCTTTCCCGAATATGAGAATAGTCTATTTGTAGCCCCCAATACCGGAGGAAATAAAGTATGAACATTTGGGTGCTTCATAACACTGCATGCAACATACACATCGGTGTGATGGCTAGACCTATTTAAAGTTCTTTAAAGTCCAAAACTGATAGTTTTTGGCTTATCTTAAGGAGTTTTCACTTCCTTTCTGCAAAAAATTCTCATATGTCACTTTGCAACTTCATTCCCTATGGGAGTTTAGTTGGAGTTATATCTGTTTTCTTGTTCAATCTCAAATGTGCATATCTTCTATTTTCATGTTTTTATATATGCACCAATTCATGCATTAACTTGCTATTGATATTAACAGAACTACTTATATCTGCAGGCAGTTTCCTTCTCAAATTTGTATGCCCCTGAGCATCTGATCATCAATGTAAAAGATGCTGAGAAGTGGGAGAGCTTTATTGAGAATGCAGGTATAACTTGTGGATAGCATCATCACTGTGTTTGTACCCTTTTTTTTTCGCCGTCTATCATTCCCTTAATATCATGTCTTGTAATGTGTTGCTCCTAATTATGTTTTATGAATCGCCGGTATAAAGTCATCTTTCCATGATAAAACTAAATTATACTTCTAATATAGCTTTCAGCTTGCCCAACTTTGGCTGGAACCCCAATAAAGTCTTTCGACTTTTTAAAGTCCATGGGTTGGTTGCACTTCAAGATCTACTTTTTTCCTTCCAAGTTGGATTTAATACAAATTTACTATATTGAAGTCCAGTCTCACCTCATTTGAGTCCCTTTAGCCTTTCTGCTATGATGAATTTCTGAAATCCATAGTAAGCTTATTTAGATTTCTGTGAAGTAGATATGTTAATGGCAAGTTCCTAATAATCAATTTACTCAGTTTGCGCTTATTCATGAATATAACCTGTTTAATTATCTAAGTGGCTATTCTTTACTCCTAGGTTCAAGAATTCCTATATATCTTTGCCGACACATTTTCATACATAATATCATGAAAAATGTATACAATTTTTTTACTGCTAGTTGCTATTGATAATAGGTATGAAAGATATCTAAAAATATATCCAATTTTGTTTTTTGATCTGTCAAGGTATGGAACCAATTTTGACTAAGCGGCTAGGGAGAGTAAGAGTAAACTGATCGAGAGAGTAGTCAGCACTATGGATGGAGCCCAATAACTACAGTATGCAGCTTTCGCTAGAAAAGAAAATATATGAAACATAGTGCCATGACTGCTGAGAAATTTTTAAGATTAAATAATTTCTTTTCCGGAGAAAAGTTGTTCTTTATTTTTATTTTGCAATTTCTTGTTGACTGGCCATCCCATGTTTACCACTTACAATCAGACCCTGAAGAATTGTTCAGGTATTTGGAAAGGGGGCTCAGGGGATCAAATCTTCATTACCATAATTTTGCAGAGCAGATTTTGGTGAATTTTAGTCTTAAAAATTCCTCTCTTGTGCTAGTGTTATAGATAGATGATATTTGTGGTTGAGAATGAGTGCTAAATCAACAGCATCATATTTCACTGATGGCGTGTGCTAGCTCTTTTGTGATGAACGGCTCTATCCTAAGGAATAAAGGAAGAAAGAAGGAAAATATTAAAAGTTTATCTTTCCTTTATCATGCAGGCTCTGTATTTTTAGGCCAGTGGACGCCAGAGAGTGTTGGAGACTATGCCAGCGGGACAAATCATGTCCTCCCGACTTATGGTTATGCACGAATGTATGGCGGAGTGTCTCTCGACTCCTTTCAGAAGTACATGACAGTTCAGTCTCTGACAGAGGAAGGGTTGAGAAACCTAGGCCCATATGTGGCCGTTATGGCCGAAGTGGAGGGATTGGAAGCCCACAGGAGAGCTGTTACCCTTAGGCTTGAGGACATTGAAGCAAAGCAAGCTTCAAATGTCCAGTGAGTCCGATGTCCTTCTCTCATCTCTCTTTGAATGATGCTCTACATGGAAACTATTGTTTTCTGGGCATCCGAGCAATGGAGTCCAGTCTTTTGTACTCAAGTTATGTGTTAAGGGTTTTTCATCTTCTTTTTTAGGGTTCTGATTGTACAAAGGAGGCAAAAATTTCTGTTATGACTAGATGGTAACATTCGATATCCGATTTAATTAGAGTAGCTGTGGGTGCTTACTGTCAGTCTTGATGCTATGGTTGTCCAAACTCAAGCATGGAGAGATTGAAACTACTGTACCCACAATTGGTATGTCTTTATATGAAACAAGTACTTTACAGTCTGAGTTTATGGCTAATGATGCAGTAGTTTTCTGGGAGTTCGTTGTTGGATGTTATCGATTTACCTCTTGGTATTATTCAGTACAAAGGTCGTTCATCTAATTTCTTGTAGGTTTTGAGGCACTGGAAAGAAAACATCAGGTTAGCATTTGGGATGTCTTTTGTCAAGTCTTGGGATAAACCCGAGTATGCAGAGCTTCTATTCCATAATTTCACGTCTCTGATCGAAATTGCACGGTTCAGTATAAAACTGGATGTGTATTCAAGCTATATATGCGTCCTTTCTTAAGTGTTCTACTCATGTGGGAAGATTCTGCATGCAAAAGATGTGCTTATGGAGGGTCCTTTCTTAAGTGTTCTACTCATGTGGGAAGATTCTGCATGCAAAACCACCTTGTCTTTCGGTTTAACCCTTGGCTAAATCTGGCGAAGGCCATCCATATGATGCTGTTCCTGAGGCGGTATCACTACGCGGGGATGTTTCCGTCCTGAGGCGGTACTACTACGCGGGACGATGCCCGGTATTACCGGAGGACGGCCAACCCGAGGCGGTACCATTACGCGGGTTGTGTCGTAGGTGGTAGGTGTTGAGTCTGAGGCGGTACCACTACGCGGGCGAGATACACGGTCTGAGGCGGTATCATTACGCGGACCCTGGAGTGTTGTGATGAGTTGGTCGCAGTGAACCTGAGGCGGTACCATTACGCGGGTCACTGGCGAGTGATGTGGAAAAGATGTGGAGAAATCGGAACGAATGTGTGAAATGAGATTTGAACATGCATGTGATTGCATATGGTGTGATTGCGACTAATGTGCAGGATGCAAGTAGGATAGACCCAGGTAAGAACAATTGAAGTGCCTACTATTTGATGATTGTGTGTAATTGTGTTTTGTGATTGTCTGGAGGTACGTGATAGCCTAAGTGGGGTTTAGGGGTATACTTACTGAGATATAATCTCACGGTTGTTTCAACCAAACATTTCAGAACCCCGGCCTGAGCAATGAATCTTCCTCCGCAGCCGCAACGTTTGGGATACCGATGTACACCGACCATAACGTGGTAGAGTACCCAACAGACGAGCAAAGGTTCATAGGGATTCAGACTTAGATTCCCGGGAGACGGAATCGGAGTGGACGCCGTCTAGCGGGCGTCAGGGATAGTTTTAGGGTTATAGTAACTCTTTTGGAATGTTCCATTTTTGGAAGATAGGGTATCCAGACTATCGATTCTTTTGATGTCGGTGGTTTATAGTACGGGGTGCATATGTATATGGCGGTTGTAAATTGTGAATATTATATATGTTTGATAATGAGAAATGAATATGTGCATTCTCCCTGATTACGCCAGTTTTAATTGTCCGGGTATTTGTAGGTTCCGCTAATCGTTTTAAATCTCTGATAAAATGAAATTTGGTCGGCAATACCCTGGGATGTCGCATTAATCGACCAGGGAAGTGTGTTGCGCGCTCGATGGGATTCGGGGCGTGACATTATTTGTTCAAGAAGTAATAGAACAAAAATGAGAAAAAAAGAATTTAGAAAAGCCAAAGCACAATGAAAAGTCTAAATGTCATTCGATCTTCTTATATTTACATGACAAAAATGCTAACGAAACTCAATTTCTGTAACATGCAGTCAACCGCATTATCACAAATTAGGGCTATGAATCCATCAATCCCAGTGTGTCGCTCCCTTGATGACTATCTTGACCTTCGTCAACTAGTTTCTTGACTCGGTGCCTCGACCAGTTGACCGATTCCACTCGCTCGAACACGACGTCGGCCACCACCTCAAACTCCTTCACTCCGTAAACCTCCGCCGCCTCCACCATGAACGCCTCCACCACCTCGTTCACACCGTCATCGTTGTCCCCCCTCCCGATCCCCACCCACTCCAGAGTCTCCGCCGTCACTTGTGCCTGGAGTATCGGGAGCGCGATCTCGTACCATGCAATGTCGAAGCCAAACCATACCTCCGGAACTTCGCCGCCGCCAACCTCGATTTGTTTTTATGTTGTTGCTAAACTACCTAATGAATTGTAACTTTCTTTTGGCATATATAATTGTCCTCACGAGTAATTTACAAGTAAAACATCTTCTCTTGACTTTTCCTTGGAGGGCGTAATTTTCCATCGGTAGTTGTAAATTTTTCTAGGTTCCATGGTTCGTAATATTTCACGAAAATAGTAACCTACCTGAGTTAATATTAAGTTTAGTCAAATATTCAATTCGTAATGTAAGTTTGATCAACTTTGTGTTCGTAATATTTCTTTAACGTCAGTAAGCTATGATGGAAAATCTTGCAACGCAAATCTGACGGACCACGTTCTTTTAAAATAATTGATCGATGGACAATATTTTTATTATTGACAGGTCCATTTTTCCTTTTTTTTGCTTGGCGTAGATATTGTTATTCTTTTGGCTCAGCGTTCATCCGTAGGAAGTGCAAATAGTTCAGCAGATTATCTTGTCCTGTGAGTTACGGGTATTGACAGAATCTTGCTACCAAAGAATGTCACTGTCCTGTCATTTTTTCGCGTTTCAAAGTCCCAGGAAAGAGTTATCATGACAAGCATTGTTCTTCGACGAATCGATGTGGTCAGGCGAAACTTGAAATGGGATATAAAGCCGGTGAATGATTTTTGAGATGGCTAGAATCAATGTTGCAGAACCGATCATCAGCTTCACTCCTTGCTTTGATGAATTTGATCACCCATCTCTTCTCTTACTAGTGTAACCTATGATTTGTTCTTTCCTTGTTTCCCCCCTCAAATTTTATATTTTTCTCATGTTAGTGACTGCTACATGGAGTGGTTACTAGCTGTTGCGTTCATTGGAGGGATCGTCTGCTCCTCTAAACTACAGATGGGTGAGTGAAGTTCTGCAGAACTAGTTAGTGTAGTGAAGGAATTCAATCCTCTGTATTGGCAATTATGCATTTGAATGCATTAAATGGATATAACAATAATTCATGCTCGATATTGGAAAGTAGAGGTAACTTGTCAAATTTTAGGTACATAAGCAGGACTCCCAGTGGCAAGACATCAGTGCATCATGAGCCGACTTCATGGCAATTTTAGCATGATGAATATGTAAATCTTTTATATGCTTTAACTTTGGATGCTCCAGAGAAATCTTTAGTAGACCCGCGCATGAATGCAATGCTGTGTAACGGAACCAAAAAGCAAGACATACTAAACATGTTGCAATTACAGCATGTGAAGTGTAACCGTGGGTGATGACTCCGGGGAAGTGGAAAAACAGAAGGGATGATGAGGTGTCTGTATCATATTCGGTTGGAGGAGAAATTAGCCAATCTCAGTACCTTAGTTGCGGAAATCAGCAGATCTCGGTGCCTGAGTTGTCTCTTTTGTCGCCCAGAAAATTGAGAAAGTAGGGCAAACCGCTAAATGTCATTATGATGTGTACATCTCTATTTGATGGTGTTAATTCGTTCGAAAATCTTGATTGTAGAGTGCAAATGAAGCTATATTGGCCATGTCAGCCATAACCCCGGTGATGGTGATAGACGGGAGTTGTCTCAGCTGGTATTCTGAGATCCACGAGGATAATATACCTTCTCTAAAACGGCATGTTCCCTTGGGCTCCCTCTCTTCGCCATATGCAAAAAATGTGAATGGTAAGTCGCTTTCTTGAAGTCTGAAGTTATCGTAGGATGAGAAAAATTCATGTTACCCATCATGCAATGTAGAAAATCATGATATTCTTAGTATCGTTGATCCAGCCTTTCTTTTCATGTGCTAGTATCAACTATGGGCATACTAGATATGCAGCCAGTAACTCCTCCGAGTTCCATTTCAACTACTGACTATGTCTGGGCTCGTGATGTTACTGTTATAATATGCTTCACCTCCGGTATAGTCTTTACTTCCTCTTATTGCCAATAACAAGTATTTTTCTTGTGGTCTTCAAGGGATAATTTTTTGGGAAAGAATGGTTTTTTACTCTTCAATAAAGTGACAGATCCTATTTAGAGACGTGTGAAGGTGCAAGCACACACATATACACCCACGGAGACATGGAAATGGCACTTTGTAGCGTTATTACCTACTTCGAAGTCTTAATCATACGAACTGATACCAGATGGCACTTTTTTGGATTGATTACCCGCCCAAAAAGTTTCAATCTTGTCGGATTTGCCAAAGAGTAAACCGTACCAGATTTGTAAATATATACGACTTTCTTTTGGCTTGATTACAGGTTGCTTATCTGAACAAGGCTACCTAGAAAAGCTTGTTTGTCCATCTTTCTTGGCAATTTTTGAAGGGTTCAGAAATTTGAGGATTACGGTATTTGATATTGGTTTCTAGTTTCAAAGGTTGTCTTGCATTCCAATACTCAACCGATATCTTTGGGCGTAGGTTCTGTTTATACGATTTCCTTCCTCTCTCTGATTTTCATAGGTGGGGTCAAAATATCAATTATATGCCACTTTGATAACTAAGTTTGGAAAAATGCGGCATTGGAAGTTCATAGTCATGCATGGCACATCCCAAGTTCTTATTTCCAGATGTTTAGTTCAACTGGGCTTATTAGTGGCTTCAGGTTCTACTGGGAACCAAAAGGAGTCGCCATAAGCCATTCAGCTTTGTTCATTCAATCTATGGCAAAAAAAACCAAATGTGGTTACAGTGAGAATGACACATGCCCTTTCCAAGTTTCTTCTCGTTTATTGTCTTCATGCTTGGTTGGCAATCGGAAATTCTATAACCATTGTCAGAATAAGTCTGAAGTGATTGTTTCCATATTTGGAGGGTATGCTGGCAATTAAGAGTCAGAGTAATATGACAAGTGAATTTCTTTTTAAACAATTTTTTCAGGTTTATTTGCATACTGCTCCTTTGTGCCACATTGGTGGTCTGTTATGGCAATGTTAACTGCTGGAGCTTGCCATGTCTTAATACCCAAGTTCAAAGCTAAATCAGCCATTGAGCTTATGGAGAAACACGATGTCACCGCTTTGATCACTGTTCCAGCAATGGTTGCTGGTCTAATATATTTCTCAGGTTATTTACGAA